CCCAATCCAGTCCAAATCCAATACAAACTTTATAAAACAACAATAACAAAGAATTTAAAATTGCTTTACATTTGACCGATTGATATAAAAGACAGATATAAAAAATAAGTCAATATAAAAAAAAATAGGAAGAATGGTTTGAACTAGTGATTCATAAAAGGAGAAAACTTAGAAAATAAACCCTGTGATCAAAATTAAGCAATGGATGTCTGGCTCGTTGGTGTATTAACTGATTTGTTTCAGTTGATATACAATCAAATTCTGCAACCAACATTTTGAGGGAAAAGGGATGAAGGGGGAAGTTAAACAAAATCTAACAAAGGGATCAACTTTAACCATTACTTCAATGGATTTCAGCAACAACCTGAAGTTGAGAGAAAGGGGTTTTACTTTTACCGATTCAAGATATAACCACCTACCGGTCCTACCCATGCCGATCAAGTTGTACAAAATCAGTACGGACATTACATGCAACCATGAACCATCTCGACCTTGGCGGGCCACGCGGAATACGGGCTACGGCAATCAATCAAGGGGCTTATGAATATGAAAGTTATTTCAATCCTTTACCAAAAACGTTATTCCAATCTGGCGGTTCCCTTTATTAATTGATTGTTATTCATATTTTGTTTTAAAGTATTTTTATCGTTTCTAATAATTGTCTAAAACCTTCTTTGTTATTAACTTTACACTATTCACATATGATATTACGTGACTGTATTTTTTTAAATTCCTAAAATACCCATCCTGTGACTTATTCATCATCTTCAACATAGAGCTCTACCTTTTCCCTCCATGTTTCATGGCCAATTGAATGGAAATTTTAGAAGAGCACTTAGTTTGTATCCCGAAACGGTTGAAATTCACCGACTATTTTCGCTTTTTCATTATTTGCGAGTCCTGGAGATGATGCACTATTTCCGTTTCCACTGTTCCCGGAAATGGTTGAAATTCGAGAAGAACTCTTCTCCCTCCGGCTTTTCCACTGTATAACACTAGGGATGATGCACCGCACCGCCTTTGCTTCTTCTATTCCCTGGAAAAGCCAAAGGAATTAACATCTTCTTTAATTCCGATAGCCAAATCTCAACGTCCAAGAGAATTTCACAATTCATGGGGTTGATACTCCTCTCGGTCCAAGTGTCGTACATTTCTAGATGCTCATTTGACGAGTGTTGCCACCTCTCTGTACTCGAAAGTTGATGACGATTCGTTTCTTGATGATGCAGTTAAGGTTTTGAGAAGTAGAAATTACAGCGTAGTAGCAACGTCAATGGTTATGCATCTGACGAATCTAACGTGCGTCACTGTCACCGTCTTTGCACCTAAGATTCTTTTCACCCTCACTATCCATTTTTCACTTTTTGTTACAATTTCCGTTGTGGTATATTAGGGCATGTTTGGTTCAATTCTCATTATTTTTTATTTTTATTTAAGACAAAATTCTAAAATGGAAAAGAATAGGTAAAAATAATAAGAAAATATTATTATGAATCAAATGTTTTTTTTCCTAAAAGTAAATTCTTTTTAAACTGACAAGTGTCCTATGTTGTTCGTTTTCATTCTTCAAAAAAAAAAAAAATTGTCGATATTCACAAACCGCCAACCTAGGTCTCCAATAGTCAATGTTTACCAATTGGCAGAGATGTTTTTGTAAAAGTACTTTCGCAAAAGTGATTTTATAAAAGTGCTTTTGTAAAAATTCTTTTATACTTTTGTAAAAGTGTTTTCATAAATGTACTTCCATAAAGTACTTTCATAAAAGTGCTTTCATAAAAGTACTTCCATAAAAGTTCTTTTTCGTAAAAGTGATTTTATAAAAATGCTTTCGTAAAAGTACTTCCATAAAACTACTTTTGTAAAAGTACTTCCATAAAAGTATTTTTGTAAAAGTGCTTTTATAAAAGTGCTTTCGTAAAATTACCTTTATAAAAGTACTTCCATAAAAATGCTTTCATGTAAAAGTACTTTTATAAAAGTGCTTTCATAAAAAGTACTTTTGTAAAAATGCTTTTACAAAAGTAAACATCTATGACAAATTGACAACAGTTTTATAGGTAGAGTTTCCTCAAACAATGAAATGAGCAAGATGGGGCATGATTATTTTTAATGCTGCAAGGTAGTCAATTTTTGTGTTATGGGGTTGATTTTTCATTCTAAAAAAAATATGGCCTGGGCAAGAATTTTGTAACTAAACACTTTAATGTTATACATTCTTGCACATTTTTGCCTAGAATGAACAAGAATTAAGAAAATGAGGCCCAAGGCAATGAACCAAACATGGTCTTAGCTTCTCCATTTGTCCGATCCTAAGAGTCTAAGAACAAATCAAAGATCAAGACTCTGGTTTTAATCAGAAAAAGAGATTGTAGTTCGTTCCTTTAACAAAATTAAAGTCAACAGTGCATAGCAGTTATCGATATATCGCATCTAATAACAACGAGAAATAGTTTCTTTACTATCGCTTTTCCCATATGAACTTAGAATCCTACCAATTTGTGGGTGGCTGGTCAGATTTTAGCATTTCTCCAATGTCCGCTGATCCTCCATATTTCCCATAAACCGGTGCTGGAGTTTTATGTTAATGTGAACTGCATCGTCACTAATTATTATTCGTGATATTTCTATTTCTGTTGTTCTCTACATATTCATCTTTGCTAATTGTACATTAGGCTGCATTGGAATTAGTGTAGAACATCATTGGTGTAAAAATTCACTAATAACATTTTACATTGAATCGTGAAAGTGACCGTTTCTTTTTGAAAAATACAATAGGTGGAAGAGTGTTAAAGTTTTTACATCAATAAAATCGATGTAAAACTTTATGTTTGATGAGATTTTACATCGATTATCAACGTAAAACTCCACTCCATCCAAACACATGCAAAACTGAACTAAAGTGGAGTTTTACGTCGATCATAATTACACGTTCATTCCAAACACCTACAAAACCGAATCGATGTAAATTTTACATTGGTTCTTGATTTACATTGCTTTTAAATGCTGCTTTAGGCCTTTAGTAAATACATTCACTAAGAAGAGGGAAAGGCATTTTTTTATCGATTGAGTTTTATTTTAACATTTAAATAATTATGGAGGGAAAATTTAACATTTTATTTTTTTAGTTAACATTTGCTGATATTGTAATATAATATATAAACAATAAAGATTGATGATATAATTATGGGTAAATTTCTTAAACTACCCTTATGGTTTAGCTAATTGATTAATTCTACCCTTACTGTTTATATATTGTCTTAGAGTACCCCTATGTTTTCTGATAATTGTCTAAAACCTCTCCCATTGTTAACTTTCTGTCATATTCTGTCATGTATTCGATACTTTTTCAAAAATTCTGACTATACCCTTTCGGCCTTTTTACCGTTTTTGTAGTGATTTTTTGGAGAAAGTCTCCCTACCCGGAGTTAATGATGCTCTTCATCTCTCCCTCTTTGCAACTGCTTCTGAGTTTGTTTTCCGTTCCCAAATCGTTGAAAACTATTGGGAAAGATGTCAAGAAAAGGCGAAAAATCCGATTACGTCCTCAACTCCGAATGCCAAAATGGACAAGAAGAAACATGTCTTTCGCTCTTCTAGAGTAGGCTTGCAGTTCCCTGTTGGCTGTATCCATCGTCTCCTGAAGTCTAGGCCGGGTTGCAGCTAATGGAAGAATAGGGGCAATAATCTTGGAGTATCTTACTGTAGAAGTCTTGGAACTGGAATTGGCAGGCAATGCCAGCAAGGATCTGAAGGTTAAACGTATTACACCAAGGCATTTGCAGCTTGCAATTTGAGGGGGTGAAGAACTTGATATACTGATCAAAGGAACTATAGCTGGTGGAGGTGTGATTCCTCACATCCACAAGTCCTTGATCAAAACATCCTCCAAAGACTACATTTGCAGATCGACTGAACTCCTTTTCGGCTGTTGAGGCTTTTCAATCCTGAGAACCATTCACGACTGACCCTCCCATGTATAAGTGTAATACGAGTTGTACTTCCTAATCAGAAATAAACACATCAACCATCCTTCGTACACGGGCTTAGAGCTTACAATCACAATAGCTCCATACATAAGCTACGATACCACCTTTTCAGCCTCGTCCAATGATTAAATTAGACAGCATGATCTGCAGCTGCAGCTGATGATTCTGTATACCTCCCAATCAGCATTGCAACTGATGATTCAGAAGTTTTATAAACAGATTAGAAACAAGATCGATTGATAGGGCAGCAAAGGAGGAAGAGGACGAAGAGGCAGCGAGGGATTTCTGACGGCGATCTTGATGGAGGAAACTTGTTCCTAGTTCCTTGACGCAAAGATTCCAACGTCACTACCCAAAATCAATAACCCTCTTCAGCTGCTTCAAATTCTCTGCATCTCCAATACATTCTAGGTAATTATAAATAAAAAGAAAAACAGAGCCGCTAAAAGGTAACAAAGGCCACCCATCTCACAAGAGGATATATTCCTATTTGATAAATCTTAAGATAGTATATGGCCTTGGGAATTAACTCTCATAGATAAGGATATTGAGTTGCCATAGTACGAACTGTCCCCTAATGCGGAATAGAGTCTATTCAATGGCAACGATTCCATTTTTTGCCTGCATGAATGTTGAGTTGCAGCCATGATTTCGTCAATTGATACTGTGAAACTATAATAAATTGAGGGTTGAAAATTTAACTAAAATAACGGATAAAATATCTTTTTACGTTAATGGTAAAAAGTAAGGTAGAATTAGTCAATTAACTAAACCAAAATTCCACAAGGATAGCTTACCATTAAGGATAAATAAAACGCAAAAAAATTCCAATCGAAGAAGTGTGTGTGGGTCTGTCCTCACTCTAAGATCTACCGACATAATCGCATGCCATTGCCAGTGTTTGTTCGGTTGTTCCAAGAGGTGTCCGTCGGTGCCCTCCACACCAAGAGGGTTTCGCTCTCGCTGTCGCAGGTACGTATTTGAACCTTATTCCACGCTTCTCCAGGGATTCCACATTTGTTTCATTTATAGAGTTCATTAATGCCTACTAACGTGTTGAAAAACCCTAATATGCTCGAAACCTTTTTCGATTACGAAAGCAGCTGCACCCTTTATCGTTTAATGAGTTTTTAGCCTAAGATCTTGCTTGAAATTATGGTTTTTATGCACTGAAGGTCGAGTGGAACAAGGTTTTTATTGATATCTGTTTGACCTTAGCGTTTTTGCCTTTGCAAAACTTAGCGTTTCTTTTGGAAGATAGGGTTAGATAATATGGCTTTATTCAAGGACCTTGATCATCCTTCCGACTTTGATTCGTTAGTATGTGAAGGGTGTAGGTTTTAGAACGTGGATTTTCCTTCCTCCACATTGTGATTTTTATTTCTTTTGCTGACGGATTCTCTTGGTCTTTTGAATGGATAGCTAAGATTTTGTTATTTTTAATCGGTAATAAAAGGCTTCGGTTTGAATTGCAGAGTTTTTGAAGGATTCGGGATTGCAAATTCTTGTTTTGCCGGGGCTGGGAAATCTGCTTATTCTGATTTGCCTTTTCTGAGGTAGAAAATGTCTAGTAAGAAAGAAGAGAAAGCTCAGGTGGCAGCTGAGAGAATCAAGGCTGCCGCTTTGACTGCTGCAAAGGGTCTTAGCCGTGCTCAGGCCGAACGAGCGGCTGCAGCTGCAGCCCGGAATATAAATGCTTATGGACAGAAGGAGGAAGGACCAAGCCGTTGGCAGGAAAGGAAAGAAGCCAAGCGTCAGATGTATCTAATGAGTACAGAGAAGGCAGTGAAATTGGGTGAAAGGAAAGACCTTAAACCCTCGGTTTCTTCCATGGGTGGAACATCTTCCCAGTGCCAGAAGTGTTTCCAGACTGGTCACTGGACGTATGAGTGCAAGAATGAACGGGTTTACATCTCAAGACCCTCTCGGACGCAGCAACTTAAAAACCCTAAACTGAAGATGAAGCTATCAGTCTCTTACGAATTGGATAACCCTGATATTCAGAAGGTCCAGAAGGGTGAAAAGAGTAGCAAGAAAAGTAAGAGGAAGCATCGATCTGATTCTGACTCGGAAAGTGAGGATAGCGAGGCTTCTGTTTTTGAAACCGACAGTGGGTCATCATCAGTGACAGAGTCAGATTATTCTTCTGATGAGAGCAGTTCGAGTTACAGTTCATCATCAGATTCAGAGGATGAGCGAAAGAGAAGGAGAAGGACGAAGAAACAGAAGAAGAGAAGGCACAAAAAGTATAGCTCATCATCTGATTCCTCCGACTCAGACTCAGCATCTGACTCTGATTCTGATTATAAGAGTAGCAGAAGGAAGAGTAGAAGGCACAGCAGAAGGCGCTAAGTGAAAGTTGAAACAGCCACAGATGAAATAAGATGCAATGTGATGAACTATGGTAATAAAGTTAACCTTATAGCGTACTTGTGTTTATGGCTTATATCTTTACTTGCTGTTCGTGCTTCCTTGTCATATGGTTCATATCTAACAGCAAGGGCCTTGAACAGGATGTGCTTGCTCATGAAGCTTTCTAAGTTAAGCATGTCCTGGTTGTTTTGCCAATGTGTACTGAATGTAACGGATGAGAAATACCATTGAGGATTGTATTGCATTTTGTTCTCTGTGCATTTTCTGGATTTTGATTTTTCTTGGCCATGTAAATAGGGCAGTGATGCTGTCTGTGATTGACAGTTGCTAAGTCAGACATTTACCTGATATAAAGAATATGATATGTTTCTAGGATTGTTATAATTATTTGTTTTGATAAAGATTCAAGTAGTCAACAATATGAATCTTAATGGGATTTGGATTTTGGATTATAGTATTATAAAACTATAGTATTGTTATACCTATAGTATTATAGGTGAATGAATTACCTCAGTATGCTGAAGAATGAGAAGGGAGAATGGATGAAAGTAGATGAGATAGCAACTGAGTTTAAAGAAATGAAAATTAGCAATGATATAGGGATGACAACAGATTTTAATGAATTAACACAGCTGAAGATAAGTCAGGTTGAAGAAGAAGATAGAATGGAGATGGATTTCATTCCAGCGTCCATGAAAACCCTAGAGTTAGTTCCATCACAGTAGCTCCCTCTCATGCCCTGCTGTGACTGGAACTTGATTGTTGCCATCTTTTGAGCTTCCCTTACAAATCATCCCTCAGCGTCCATAAAAAACACTAGATTTACTTCCATCTTTTGACAGAGCCTCCAGACGCCCTCGGGGAGAGAAGTTTGGGACCTTTGGGTGCGTGCAAAGATAAAATACAAACTTATTATTAGAATGGCATTAATAAGATAAAATGCAAACGTATTATTAGAATGACATTAATAATGGGTATTGGGTAATCCTTTATTCTTAATGAAATTTGTAATTCTTTTTTACTTTTAATGAAATATACTGTCAACTTGAAAAAAAAAAAACAACAAACAAAACTGCAGCCAAGCCATCAAGGAGACAGAATATTTTGATCTCCCATGTAGCAGGAGATCCAGACCCGTTAGCAAATGGATTTGACGTGGTACACAATAAATTAGCTTTTGAATTGTTAAAACATAGGAAACAAAAATTGGGTGGCAGGGTGTTAGCATTTATTTATTTATTTTTTTTTTGTGGGTGGGGGTGGGGGGGGGGGGGTTGGTTTGAAAGACAGTAATCTGCTTTGAACTGCATCTCTCATCTCTCATCTGCAATGGAATTATTTTATTTTAGTCTTGCATATCACCTGAAATTTTCAGCTGTGATTATGTTGGTTCTGTGAAGAGCTCGCTATGAAGGGCTTGAACTGCATCTCTCATCTCTTTTCCAATATTTTTTTCTCATTTAAGATTTGGCTACATGGCTGGATATGGTAATTCAATTATTTATTCAGTGGGACCTGTTGAATCCCAATTTAGATTACTCCCCCTGATTTGATAAAATCAATATTGAAAATTGGAATTATCCATATACACATTTATTAAAACTGGCTGGTGAATCAAATTACTGTGTACTTACCCATCTTAAAGGTAAGATGGTTACTGGTTAGTGTAGTGCGAAATCCGGACTCCATTACCTTGAACTCCATCTCTCTGGCCTTTTTTTAATTGCAGTTGTGAATTGCGATGGCTTCATCTTATTTTCTCCAAATTCGTATTCTTTTACATGGGCAAACAGCATCTCTTTGAATCTTACCCTTCAAAATAAACCTCTTCTTACTCTCCATTTTCTACTTGTACCGTGAGTTCACAACTAAAGTGATGTTTTGTATCGTGGCTATTTATACTTGAAATGCTTACACATCACTGCCACCTAGGTGTTTTGAGTTTAAATGCAAATTTTCTGGTTGGTTGATACTGTTTCGAGTTAAAAGTCATAAAATGTCTTTTCAAGAAAGTGAGAAACATAAACGAGGGGGTGTTGAGGGGAAACATGGATGATGTTTCCTCCATCAGCTACCCATCTGAAGAAATAGTCCAATGACCTCTCTCTTGCCATGTGGCAGTGTGGAGATATATTTTGGTGCATTGCATTGTTTACTAGCAAGGATGGATGTGTATCATTTTTTTTTGTCAAAAGAAGAAGCAGCTTCATATATTACTATTGGCTAATAACCGTACAGTAGCAGATTGTCTTTGATCATAATTTATGATCATTTGGCCTTCGCATGCAGCATATGCAAGTATGTGAGCAGCTTTGTTATAGTTTCTATTTACATAAACAAGCAAAAAGAGTGGTGAGAGATGTGAGTTTGGCCCAGTGTATCTGCTCCATCCATTCTGTTGGTTTTCCTTTACTTACTAAGAGCTGTATCAGGTTTTCAGAGTCACTATATACAAAAAGATCCTGGTCTGTTAGGATAGAAGCTGCTTTAAAGTCCTGCTATTAACGCCTTTATTTCTGCTTCATAGCTTGTTGCAGCCCAGCAAGGTCTCCCTTCAGGAGTGATTTCTCCTGTATTTCGTTGGAAGATGAACCCTCTTCCCGCGTTCCCTGTTAAAGGATCAAAGGAGCTGTCAACCTGCAGTATATTGTTTATAGAGGTAATGCTAGGCGGTGTGTCTGTGTTCATGCTTCGTATCTGATTGAAGATGGGCTGCAAGTAATTATTTATATGATTCAAAAGATCTAGAGGTTCTATTAGGGTCTTTTCAAACACAAGCCTGTTGCGGGCTTTCCATATTAAGTATGGTGGAGCTCAAGTGTGAACTTGATGATGGTTGAGTTTAGCCAACCTGTGATGATTTCATGGGAAGGTTTATCTTTGATTTTATCTGGATTCAGTCCCGTTTGACTGTGCTACCAGATTGCACGAGCATATGGGCAGGTGAACAATAACTGATGCATGGTTTCTGCACTTTGCTTACAGAAAGAACAAGGAGCCATGCAGTACACTTGTCCTTTGTTAGGATTGCATCCCATAAAAAATCTCCACATGAAAATTTTATCCTTCATTTTATCATTGAATACTCCTAAATCCTACATCCAAAACAGAAGTTCTTTTGGTTACATGCTTATGGAGCAACTAGATCTGCATACAGATGGTAATCTGTGTGATAGTGAGCCAGTGATCAGAAAATATTTATTTTTAAATTTGATCATTAGATGCAAGATCATTGTGGGATGGTTTCACATCAGTATAAACATTTCAGCAATGTCAATACCATACCAAACACAATACTGTTCGTTTACCAAAAAAAACACACTACTGTTCAGAGCCAAACACAACCTAAGCTTTTCATTTAAACGTTTGACATAAATAGCGGCATTTCATTCAAGATTAGTCAGCAAAAGTACTAAATCTCATTCAAGATTCAGCATATCCGCTGGACTGCTCAGCTAACATACCAATTGAGCCACTACTAGGTCGAATTTAAATTATGTCACTGGATTTAAAAAGATCTGGAAAACAAATAAGATAAGTTTTCACACAAATATTGTTTGAAAAACTGAAGACCAATCAAGAAGCAAAAAAAGAAAGCATTTAATGCGGAGCAAGATCATCCGTGTCAGCCAGTATCCTATTGCTTTGGCACATGAAAACAATAATATTGCCTTTTTGGTTTTTCCTTGGATAGACATTGTCGAATAGAATGACACATGCACTAAAACAATTAGATTCGTTTCGAAAATCTTCTCAGCAGCAATCGCTGTGCATATTAGGGGATTTGCTACGTTGAGATCAGAGTTGGAGCTATTTTGATGTAGTTAAAACAGAAGCAAAATAAGAGAGAAGAATGAGATCAAGAAATAAAACACTAAATAAAAGAACAGTATTATTCATAGAACATGGGAGAGAGAGAGATTCTTTATATTGTAATGAAACTCAATCTCTAATTTGCTACTTTTATAAGAAAAAAACGCATAAATTTTGAGTCTCTTCTAAATTGGGCTTGACGTCACGTGGAATCTGCTACCCATACCTGTCCACAACCACAAGACATTACAGCTGTACATTAGGAACCTCTCTCATTCTTGTGAATTGCAAATCTGGATGCCTTCGGTATAAGAGTAGAGGCATGTGGAACCTCTCCCAGTCTCCAGATGGTTTCGCCTGTCCACTTTAAGCTCATTCACTCTTTTCTAGAATATCCAGGTCAGAGTGCTTTGGATGGTGAGCAGATATTGAGAATACAAACAATTGGTTGTTTCTAAGGGGATGTTCTTTTTTTGGATTTTGAGAGGGGGGAAAGTTGGTCAATGAGATTTTGGTTTTTATTGACCAAAAATCTCATACTCATTTTACAGATTTATGTGGGAACTAGGGAAAGTAAACTTTCCCGGGTAAGTGATACCCATCTCTTAGGTGGGTAAATAACTTTCCCACCTAGGGGGAAATTTGCTAACACTTGAATGGGACAAAAATGCCCCTTTTAATAAAGATTTTTTATGGCTAAAATGGTTATTACCTTGTTTACCTAGGAAATAAAAGAACATGGGTAAATGCACTTACCTGGATAAGTATTTCCCAGGAAAAATTTATCCAGGTAATTGCATTTACCCAGTTTAGTAACTTACCAAAAAATGAACGGGGCCTAAAGGCAAACTAGAGGTAAATGTTTCTAGAGAAGTTCATATGGAAACAGTTGAACCAATGTTTAGACACTCGAGAACCAGCTAAAGGCATTCTGCTAAAGGGAAACGAACACCCAATGCAACTCAATCTTTCAAGTTGCACCCAACTCGGGAGTCATTAGAAAACTCCTATTTTCAATGCTTGAACATGCAACGTAGTTTAATTTTCAGACCATGGGCTTGTCATCAATTGCTTAAGTATATGTTTGGCATCAATGCTGCAAATACAAAATGGTGTTGCTGATGTATAGGTTGGAAGCACCGTTTTTTGAGAAATTGGTGTCTTTTTCTTGTTTGGAATCGTTGCTGTCAGGTAGGATGTTTCCTGAAGCAACAATAACGCTTTCTGTTTGGTACCAATGCTCTAGGAAATGTTTTCAACACTGGTACCCATTATCCAGTGCCACACCCCTGCCACCTCACATCCCTATTGGCAACAATGAGCTGTAGCTTCAAGAAACACCAAATTTGGTGTTACTCCAAGCCATGCCTTCCCAATTTTCAAAGCACGGCTTGGAATACCATTTTTTATGAAAAAATGGTTCCAAACAAACACTCGTTTCTTAAACATTGTTTTTTCTGACATGGCACTGATGTGGTGCCGTTTTCTGGAGCAACGACAATGGTGCCAGACAGACGCTAAGATGTTCGTATTGCTTCCTTAATGCTTGCACATGTTTCCCACACGTTCCT